AGCTAAAGGAGTCATCATCACCAAACCAGTATTATATGAAATGCTGAAAGGTATCCTTTAAGAAGAGGAAGAAGAAGAAAAAGGTAAAGATACAAATTATGAACAACAAATACACATCTATCAACAAGTGAATCTAAAAATCAAGTGAATAAATAATCTGATGAACAGTATGAACTGGTGATTGTAATAGAATCAGGGACATAGAAAGAGAATGGACTGACTATTTTATGGAAGGAAAGGGGTGTGGGGGGTGCGGGAAGAGATTGGACAATAATTGTGCACCTATGGATGAGGACAGTGGGTGGGGAGTGAGGGGGGAGGGTGGGGTGGGAACTGGGTGGAGGGGAGTTATGGTGGGAAAAAAGAGGAACCAATGTAATAATCTGAACAATAAAGATTTAATTTCAAAAAAAGAGTGGTGAAAGCGGTCTCTCTCTTGGTGTGCTAGACTCTTGGGTTGATGGCAGGAGATGCGCTCCCTATTACCCATGTGGCTTATGGCCATATGGGCCTCCACACATGGACCAATAGACTTTAATTAGCTGGGATGCTGAACCACTCTGACAGTAACGTGGAAAGGAAGCTCTGGACACTGGCCTGCTCCTGGAACCCCAGTTGCACCTTTTCCTGGACTGGCTTCTCTAAAAAAAACAAAAAAAAAACTTCGATTCCACTAAAAAAAAAATGGGCCAAGAAGGAGATCAGGCAAAGAGTGGTGAAAGTGGACATCCTTGTCTTGTTCCTGTTCTTAGGAGAGATGATTTTAGTTTTGGCCCATTAAGTATGATGTTGGCTGTAGATTTGTCATATATGGCCTTTTTCATGTTGAGATATGCTACCTCTATTCCCACTTTGCTGAGAGTTTTTATCAAAAATGTGTGTTGGATTTTGTCAAATGCTTTTTCTGTGTCTATTGATATGATCATGTGATTTCTATCTTTCAATTTGTGTATTTGATGAATCACGTTTATTGTTTTGTGAATACAGTACCAGCTTTGTATCCCTGGAACTAATCCCACTTGGCCATGGTGTATGATCATTTTAATATACTTCTGGATCCAATTTGCTAATATTTTGTTGAGGAGTTTAGCATCTATGTTCATCAGGGATATTAGCCTATAATTCTCTTTCTTTGTAGTTTCTTTATCTGGTCTAAAATTCAGGATGATGCTGGCCTCATAAAAAGAGGTTAGAAGTGTTCCTTCCTCTTGGATGTTTTGGAGTAGTTTGATGAGTATAGGTGTTAGTTCTCATTTGAATTTTTTGTAAAACTCACCTGTGAAGCCATCTGGACCAGAGCTTTTATTATTATTATTATTATTATTATTTTATTGCTTCAACGTAGTCAGTTGTTATTGGCCTTTTGGGTTTTCTGATTCTTCCTGATTTAGTTTTGAGATATTGTATTTTTCTAGGAATTTGACCATTTCATCCACATTGTCCAGCTTGTTGGCATATAGCTGTAAATAGTATTTTCTTATAATTTGTATTTCTGTGGTGTCGGTTATTACTTCACTCTTTTGTTTCTGATTTTATTTATTTGGGTCCTCTCTCTTTGTTTCTTGATGAATCTGGCTAATGTCCACCAATCTTGTTTATCTTTTCAAAGAGCCAGCTCTTGGTTTCATTGATATTTTTGTATTTTTTTTAGTCTCTATGTCATTTATTTCTGCTCTAATCTTTATTATCTTGTTTCTTCTACTTACTCTGGGGTTTTCTTGTTGTTCTCTTTCTAATTCTTTAAGCTGTAGAGTTAAATAGTTTATTATTAATTTTTCTTATTTTTTGAGGTAGGCCTGTAGTGCTATGAACTTCCTTCTCAGGACTGCTTTTGCTGTTTCCCAGAGATTTTTGGTTGCTGTGTGTTTATTTTCATTTGTTTCCAGGAAGTTTTTTCTTTCTTTCTTGATCTCATTGGTAACCCATTCATTGTTTAATAATATGCTATTTAGCCTCCATGTGTTTGAATGTTTTTGAGTGTTTTTACTGTAGTTGATTTCTAATTTCATTCCACTGTGGTCTGAGAAGATGCTTGATATGATTTCAATCTTCTTGAACTTGTAGAGACTTGTTTTGTGTCCTAACATGTGGTCTATCTTTGAGAGTGACCCATGTGCATTTGAGAATGTATATTCTGAAGCTTTGGGGTGTAATGTTCTATAAATGTTGATTAAATCCATCTGATCTAGTATATCACTTAGACTCTGTTTCCTTGTTAATTTTTTGTCAGGAAGATCTATCCAGTGAAGTCAGCAGGGTGTTATAGTCCCTTACTATGACTGTATTGCTGTTGATCTCTCTTTTAAAGTTCTCTAGATTTTTAAAAAATATATTTATGTGCTCCTATATTGGGTGCATATATGTTTACTAGGGTTCTATCCACTTGTTGGATTGATCCCTTTAATATTATGTAGTGACTTTTTTTGTCTCTTGTGATGGCCTTCATTTTGAAGTCTATTTTATCATATATGAGTATTGCTATCCCACCTTTTATTTTGTTTCCATTTCCATGGAATTTTTTTTTCCATCCCTTCACTCTCATCCTGTGTGAGTCTTTTGTTCTGAGATGGGTCTCTTGTAGACAGCATATAATTGGGTCATATTTTTGTATACATTCAGCTACTCTGTATCTTTTGATTGGAGCATTCAATCCATTTACATTTAAGGTTATTATTGATAGGTACTTACTTATAGCCATTTTCATTCTTAATGCCTATCTCTCTCTCTTTCTTCTCATTACAGAAGTTCTTTTAGCATTTCTTGCATTGCTAGTTTGGTGGTGATAACTCCTTTAGCCTTTTTTTTTTAATGGTCTGGGAAGCTCTTTATTTCACTATCTATTTTGAATGATAACCTTGCTGGATATAGTAATCTTGGTTTCAGATCCTTGCTTTTCATTACCTTGAATACTTCATGCCATTCCCTCTGGCCTGTAGAGTTTCTGATGAGAAATTAGCTGACATCCTTATGGGCGCTCCTTTGTAGGTAACAAATTGCTTTTCTCTTGCTGCCTTTAAGAGTCACTCTTTGTCTTTGGTTTTTGGCATTTTAATTATGATGTGTCTGGGCGTGGGACTGTTTGCGCTCTTGCATGGGACTCTCTGTGCCTCCTGAACTTTTGTGACATTTCTCTTTACCAGGTTAGGGAAGTTTTTGCCATTATTTCTTCAAGCATGTTCTCTATGCCTTGCTCATTTCTTCCCCTGCTGGCACTCCCATGATGCAAATATTGTTATGTTTCATGTTGTCCCACAGCTCCCTTAAACTTTGCTCATGTATTTTAATTGTTTTGTTTGTTTGCTTCTCTGATTGAGTGATTTTTTTTCTATCTTGTCTTCTAATTCACTGATTTATACTTGGCTTCCCTTAATCTGTTGTATATTCTTTCCAATTTGTTCTTTATTAGTTCTATGTCAATCTTTATTCCCAACTGATCTTTTTTCATAGTTATTATATCATTTCTCATGCTGTTGAGTTTCCCTGCCATCATTATTCTGAACTCTATGTCTGATAAATTTCTTCTCTTCATTCCATTTAGCTCTTTTTCTAGAGAATTCTCCTGTTTTTTCACTTGGGGCTTGATTTTTTGTCTCCCCATTTTGGCTGCCTGTTTGGGTTTGTGTCTATGTATTAGATAGATCTGCTTCTACTCCCAATATCTAGTGCAGGACAACGTCAGACACTATTTGTGACTGGTCCTGAGTACCCTGTTTGGAGCTATCAACAATCCACAGCTTGTGGCTCCCTCTGCTGGGGCTGGGTGCCTTTGGAAATGACCAAGATGTGCTTTTCCTAACCCTGGGCCAAGAAGGAGATCAGGCAAAGACTCAAAGCTTCTAGAGATCTGCCTCTGCCTGCAGTCCAGTCTTGATTAGTATCAGGATATTGACCACGGAGTGGGGTGAGAGGTCTTCCAGCAGGGTGGGGAATTGCCTTTTCCCCAGGCCAAAACCGCCTAGATAGCAACGGTCCACCAGAGAAAGATGTCCTTCACAGGGTGCAAGAATGACTCAGCACAGGAAACTCTGTTGGTTGCCCTCCGAGCTCCAACCCCAGACCCCCCAACCCTAGACTCTCCTCACTCAGCTTTAGTCTACTTTGCCCTCCCTCTGCTGGAGCCCAACGTGAGTGGCTGCACATGAAATTTTGTGCATTGGCCCTTTAAGAGGGTGCCTGCATTTCCAGCCGTCTCTCTCAGGCAGACAGCAACCCTGCTGCTTTTCACAGCCTGATGTTATGTGGACACCGTTATCATTTCTGATGCTGTGGGCTGGGGTGCCTAGCTGGGGGTTTAGACCCCAAGGTTCTCAGTGGGAACTCCCACAGCTGAGACATCCCTCTGGAACTTTAGCTGGTGTCTGAAGGAGTCTAGCCAGCCCTTTGGAGCCTCTGCCCTTCCTATTAGACTCCATGTGGTCTCCTCTTTCCGTCCTTAGTTATCAGGGTTCTCTCCAGCTAGTCTTCAGTTGATTTTTCAGGGTGGTTTTTCTATAACTTTAGTTGTATTTCCAGTTTGGTCCTGGGAGAGTGTCAGTGTACCTTCCACTTACTCTGTTGGCATTTTTGAATCCCATATAAAATTATCAACTTAAAATTCAACCTGTTATATTTGGTCAAACATGTAATTAACTGACCCATAATGCATTGGCAGGGCCAGACCAAATGATTTGAAGGCCACAGGCCAGATGTTCCCCACCCCTGCTTAAAAGAGAGGGGAGGAAAAGGAAAAGCCCAGTGTGATTGAGTTTTTAATAGTCAAGAAAAGGGTTTCATCATGAAGTGGGCAGTGTCTTCAGCTCCTCATTCACTAGATTCACATTACAGGTGACGCGCAGACAAGAGTTGCCTCAGGCCTTCCCCTCCCCTTGTTTTAATGATTTATAGTGTGTTTTAGGAAACATACATACTTTTTCTCCTAATGGGTCCCACTGAAATGATCTGTTCTTTAGGTTCTTTGGTATATTCTGTGGCAATCCTGGAATTTTGTGGGCAATTCTGAAAGACAGAACACCAGGGGAAATTTTACACGATCAGGCTGGTATCTCTTTTCCACCATGATTCCGCCTCCCGAGGCAGTGGTTGCAGCCCCGAGCACCATCACTGTTCAGATTAATGCGCCCAATGCCTTCTCGATCACAGAGCCCCCGGACTCTAGGCTCTCTGTTGAAGAGACTTAAATGTATTCTCCGCACTAGAATTAGATGCATTCCTGGGAATGAGGAGTGCTGTATCTCATCAGACACTAATTATGCAGCAGCACGTGGAAGAAGCTCTGACTATAATTCACATCTCAATTTTGTAAATATGGGGTAAGCAGGAAGCTGGAGTGTTAAAGGTTAGGAACCAGTGCAATAAAATCTTAGTGACATTAGCCATACAGGTGGGAAATACATCTGGCGTGGAAGAGAGGATCGGTTTGTCACCTCATCCCCCTCGCCCTTCCAGAGCCTCAGGCCCTGGCATGGCTCTGGATGAGCTGCAGGGCAATCCCTGGCTAAGGAACACCTAGATGGCCTGGCAGGTGTGGCTCAGTGGTTGAGCACTGTCCTATCACAGTTCGATTCCTGGGTTGTGGGCTTGATCCCCAGTAGAGGGCATGCAGGAGGCAGCCGATCAATGATTTTCATCATTGATGTTTCTATCTCTCTCTCTGTCTCCCTTCCTCTCTGAAATCAATAAAAATATATTTAAAAACTATAAGTAAAGAATAGCTGGATCAAGTGCATCTTGAACCAGGAGTTTGCTTCTCAGTGGAGTGGAGGTTGGCCCCAGTGTCCACCTCAGATTCAGGTGACCTGGCTCCTTGAGACTCTGATGCAGGTGTTCTCAAATGGGCCGCCTTTGCCCCCAGGGGCCAACTGGCAATGTTAGGAGACATTTTGGGGTGTTTGAGCTGGAGGAGCTACAGGCATCTAGGGGGTAGAGGTCAGGGAAGCTGATAAATGTCCGACGATGCACAGAACAGTCTCCACCCAAAGAATGATTTGGTCCAAATGTCAGCAGTGCCGGGTTTGAGAGACCCTCACCTGGTGTCACACTGGACAGGTGGACACTGCGGAGACAGAGGGGTCAGTGGCACTGTTCCGCTGTGTCCTCTCTCTCACTGTCTCCCCAGAGGTGACTGCTGCTTGCAAGCCCCCGAGGACTTCCAGGGGCCGTGAGACCTGAAGGACCCTGAGGAGTCACATAGACCCTGGCACGTGTGACCCATGTTGGGAGATGGGGCAGCGAGATTCACTCACTATTTTGCAGGAGTACTTCTCCGAATCGCAGAGTGACACTGCGCAGTGAAGATGGACTTCATCATAATCCCCGATGAACTTGAAGACTGTGACGTGAAAGCGGCAGGTGAGGGAGACCCCATTCTCCTCGATGCCAATGGTGTTGTCTTTAATGTTCTGACACCTATTCAGAAAAAATAATACCTTTGCTTCTTATTTTCATACTAGAGGCCTGGTGCACAAATTCGTGCATGGGTGGGGTCCCTCTGGGTGGCCTGCCGGGATCAGGCCAAAACCTGCAGTCCAATGCCACCTGCTGCTCCCACTCATCCTGGCCCCACTGTGCCTGCCATGGGCTCCCGCCCAATCAGTCCTGATCAGGAAAGGCTCGAACTGCCACGGGAGCACTCGCCAGCCAGGAGCCCTGTGTCTGGCGCCCTCCCAAGGGGAGTGGCCTGCGGGATTGGGCTGAAACCAGCTCTCTGATATCCCCCAAGGGGTCCAGATTGTGAGAGGGCACAGGCCAGGCTAAGGGACCCCACTGGTGCACAACTGGGCCAGGGAGGGACCGCAGGAGGGTTCAAGGGCATGTCTGGCCCATCTTGCACAATCCCGATTGGCTGGACCCCAGCAGCAAGCTAACCTACCAGTCAGAGCATCTGCCCCTGGTGGTCAGTGCATGTCATAGCAACTGGTCAACCAGTTGACTGTCTGCCCCCTGGTGGTCAGTGCACGTCATAGTGAGCGGTTGAGCAGCCTTTGCATATCATTAGCATATTACGCTTTGATTGGTTGTTCAGTTGTTCTGCTGTTCGGTCTATTTGCATGTTACCCTTTTATTATATAGGATTTCATATAAAACCATTGTAAATGGTAAAAATGCCTTTGCATGTGAAAGTGACCTCTGGATTGTGTGGGTTTGGCATGTATGACCACATCCTCATATTTATATCGTTTGTTTTGAAAACATCAAATAGCACCTCCAATTAGGACCCTAACTGCATCTAAAAACAGAATGACTGTGGGGATGGAACTCAGTTTCCCTATGTTTCAGCTTCTTATGCTGCTCGCTCACACTGCTGTGGGCTATGATATCAGGTTAACAAACTCAAGGTTACCTCTGTATGTTCTTCACCATCCATTTTGGGAGGAGCCCCTGATTCAACCCTGTTGGGAGTTCTTCCCACACGGAGACTTGCAGCTGAGATAAAGCCGTCAGGGATGAGCGGGAGCACTGCTCGGAGGCAGGCAGCCTCTTCTCTCCTCTGGTGGCACTGACAGCGGGAGCCGCCCTCAGGCCCACAGATCTTGCCTCCGGGACTTAGAGTTCCCCAAATGTTCAGTCTCATGCCCCGGGTCTTCTCACGTCATGTCTGCCCACCTGGGAGTCTCTGCAGCTCATCCCGCTCAGCACCTGCTCTTCCTCCCACACCAGCCTAGGCTTCCCTCCTTTGTAAATGTCCCCTCCCCAGCGGCCAGGCAGGAACAAGGGGCTGCTCCTGGTTGGCCAGTAGCACTGCTGAGCCCCTGGAGTGCAAGAATCAAGCCATGCACCCCAGGGTGCCTCCCTCACGCACAGGGCATGGGGAGTCTGCGCTGGATGCAGGAATTGAAGTGACGCATTGTGCTGCGTGGCCCAGGGTGGCTCATTGGAGCTAAGAGGTTCTTTACATGATAAAGATACAAGGGGGACGCTTTCCTTAGTTGCCTTCCCCCAGCACACAGAATTAACTAACTCAGTAGGAGAATTATAAACGAAAATAGTTCTTCACCATCCCTATACCTATTCAGTTTTGTACTCAGGCTTCAAGGCAACAGTTTCTTAAATGCGCTGAAACAAAAACTTGCTAGACTGTTTCTTGTCACTGTTACTATGTGAATAATCTAAGTTGGCTCAAAGATTCTAAAACAGTCATAGCCCTGATATGCAAGCCCCTCCCCCTTAACCAGACCCCCAGCTACGAGAGATTACTTAGGTTTTGGTCTCAGAAGAACATGGAACCGAAGGAAGGGGCCCAGGGGAGCAGAGCTGGGCTGTTTGCGTGCTGCCTGCGTGTGAGCCAGTCAAGCTCTAGAATTCTCTGTCCACCCTGAGGAGAAAGCCCCCCAACCCCTCCCCCCCCGCCCGCCTAGGCACCCGGAGAGGAGCGGGAGTGACTTGCATGTACCCAGGCTACTTTCCGAATCACTGATGGACGCTGGCGCCCTCCCTGCGCTCCACCAGCCGGAAGGAACAAGGACTCCTCAGAATTCTTATGAGCCCATTTTGCTGCTCATTCACTCAGCCCTGAGCATCACGTTTCATGCAAGTTCGCTGGAGACACACACACTGCTAACCAAGGTCAGGGGACTCCTGAACTAAAATTCTCCCACGTGGCAGAATCCCTGTATGCCCAGTCACAGTTCAAGTCCCAGGCCTTCATGGAGACCCTGGGGAAGCCGAGGTTTAGGAACACACTCACTTGCCCACTCCCCCTCTTGGGGTCAAGTCTGTTAACTCCCTTTAAAAAATGCTCAGTGCCACAGCGACCTTCAGAGGAGGCACAAGCCACATCACCTGGATCTGCATTTGGTCGTGGCTCAGATCTCAGCCTTTCATTATGGGAAGGACCATGACAGGAAGGGGAGACGAGGAGGAAGGGAGAACAGTGACACTAGCCCGGGCATCTCGGCCTGCAGGACACCAACTGGTTACCAAGTCCTTCCCTTTGCCTAGAAGAAGCTGGAAACCAATTCAGAAAGTCAAGTGCCTCAGTGAGATCTTTCCTGAAACTTCCACATCACGCCTGCGCGCCCAGCCACGGCCACGCCCAGCCAGTGGGGTTGGCTGTGTACCTTCCTCCTCTGAGCCTGTTGCATCTGCAAAGCTGTGGCTTTTTATTGTTTGTCTGCCCAGACCACACCCTTCTGCTGATGAACCATTCCCAACCTTAAAGCTGATGCACATGCCCCCCTCCCCCATGGTGCTCCCCCGAAGCCGGCACCTTGGCATACGAAATCCTTGAAGGTGAGTGAGTCTGAGAAAATGGCAGAAGCAGGAAGGTCACCCTGACTTTCTCCCTGACCCTTTCCACCTGAGACAAGTCGTAAAACCTTCATGGGAGAGGTGCCCCCTGACACCCCAAGGAAAGGACCATTCTTATCTTCGAAGACAAAGGGACTCGGAGGAGAAGCTGAGCAGATGACACTACAGTCACTTCATGCCTGGCCGGTCCCTGCTCCCTGCCTGTCCCTCCAGCCCAGCATACAGCACTCAGGTCCAACCACTGCTGTGGGTCTTCATTCCCGCACTGAAGGTTCCTGTGTCACATAAAACTTGTATTAAATACATTATGAAACTTTTTTCTGCTAATTTGTCTTTGTTTTCAGACCCACCAGGTGACGTCATGCTGCATCCCTACAGACACAGGAGAAGCGTGATCCCGGGAAGGCTCCCCATGCTCTCTCGGGAGCCGGGGAGCAGGGCTCGGGCGCTGCTGTGGGAATGTGAGTCTAGGGCAGCCAGTGTCCGGCAGAGGAGACAGAGATGGACAGAGCCAAGGGACAGAGCGAGGGGGAGGGTGCGGCAGCATCCGCCCGGTCCAATCGTCCCTGAAGCCACATCCACGGCTGGAATTGGTTTTGTGATGATTAAACGCATTGTTTTTGGGTTTTTTTTGCATAAGCTACTTGGAATTGGTCTCTCCTACATCTAATAGAAAAAGAAGTTGGATTAATAAGTCACCTGCCTTAAGGAGGATTGTATTAGGGGATGGAAATGTTCTAACTAGTTCATGGTGGTGCTCGTACTCCTCTTGTAAGGTTACAAGCATCACTGACTGTTACACTTAAAGCAAATGCATTTTAGTGCATACAAATTACATATGCAATCAAGCTATTAAAAAAGAATTACTGCTTGACACAACCAGTGTTTTTAAAAATTAAGATAATTATTATTGTTGTTGGATCTATAGTCTTCGTTTTTTCATTCATTCAATAAAATGTTGTTTCATAACCACTATATTTCAGAAAATATACTAGGTGCTGGGCATATAGTGGTGAGTAAAAAGAAACTCTTTGATTTTATAGGCTATTATTCTAATTCTTTTTAAATTTTAATAGATGTCCTAGTCACTTTCTGTTATTCTCCTTACATTCTTTCATTTTCATATAATTCACATTTATTTCAAACTGAAATTTAAAGTAGTGAGGACAGACCCTCTGATCACATGGAGAATATATTTGTAGTTAATGCCATGTGGACTTGGGGATCTACCAGCAAACTGCCGTGTGACTTTGAGCAACTTGCTTGCTCTCACTAACCTTGAGCCGTCTCATTCATAAAATGAGGCTTCTCACATCTACCTTCCAGGTTGTAGTGAGAATCTGATAGTTCATGGATGCAAAATGCTGGCCTTGTAGGAAGTCAACAAGCATTAGTTCCTATTCCCTTCTCTAAACTATGGCAGAGGCTCAGTGGAATGCTACGCTGCTGTAAAAAAGAAGGAATTCTTACCATTCGCAGCAGTATGGATGGACCTGGAGAGCATTATGCTAAGTGAAATAAGCCAGTTGGAAAAAGTAAGTATCACATGATCTCACTCATTTGTGGAATCTAATGGACAACATAAACTGATGAACAAAAATAGGTCCAGAGACATAGAAGCATGGAACAGGCCATCCAACCTCAGTGGGAAGGCAGGGAGGGCTGCTGGTGATTAAGAGATCAACCAAAGGACTTGCATGCATATAAGCATAACCAACGGTCACAGACAATAGGGGGTGAAGGCCTGGGCTGGGGGTGGGGGCAGGCTGGGAGAGGTCAATGGAAGAAAAGGGGGACATCTGTGGTACTTTCAACAATAAAGAATTTAAAAAAATAAAATGTGGTGTAGACTAATGTTACAGTGAAGGCTCCGAGGCTGTGCCTGGTGAGAGGCTACGCACCCTTCTTCAATGATGAAGTATCGGAGTTTGTCATTGCTGTCGCGTGAGGGTGTGGCATAGCACTTGTTCAGCGTCAGGATCAAATGGGTGGCATCAGCTCCGACCACAAAGACCCCGACGTACAGCACGTCTCGCGTGGTCAGCACCACCTCGCCCTGGCGGTACGGGTGCTTGTAGGAGGCATTTTTGTAGAGCGCCATCTTGGTGGTGAAGCTGCCCTCTTGGGTTGGAACGGTCAGGTTAATGACACTGAAAGGGAAAAAGACCATGAGGCAGGGGGCCCCGGCAGTTATGTTTACTCAGTTACCTGCCACTTCTCCAGCTGAACATGCAGAGGGAGGCAATGCAGGCGGCAGTGGGGTCCAAGGCTGCACTGTCCACATGGTCCCCTCCAGGCACGTGTGGCCATGAAATCATCGTAAATTACCATCAGTCCTCAGCAGCCCCCCACCCCCCCGCCCCCGCCCAACAGCTACTGTGCTGGATAGGACAGACAGAGAGCATGCCCGGCACTATAGGAAGTTTCACTGGGCGGTGCCACTCTCAGGCAGGAAGTCAGATACGGAAATAGGGACTGTTCTTTCTCGTGCTTCAGAGCTCAGAGCTGGCTGGCACCATGGCGCTCCCTTACCCGCCGGCCGCAGCCTCACCTCAGCATGGGCTTCACCACCGAGTCCAAGGAGATCTTGATGTCCAGCTCGTAAGCACACGAGAACTCCACGTTGATGGTCCGGTCCCTGGTGATGATGTTGCCTGTGTTGTTGGCGCTTTCTATCCAGATTGTGTTCTTGTACATGATGTGAGTGCCATTGGACTGCAGACAAAGGGGGTCAGAGAGCGTTAAATCTGGGAGGAGCCCATGGCTTGCATTTCAAATCCATGTCCTGAAGTGGAGAAATGGCTTCATTTCATACACCCCTACGAGGCCAGTATAAATCAGTATGGAGGTAGCCTCCGCATTTACTGCAAGTACTACAATAGATGCCAGCAGCACCCTCCAGTCAGACTCCTTGATGCCCACAGAGGGTGAGTTTATGAATTCTGGCTACAACCAGCCCCAGTTTCTCTGGGCACCCAAGCAGGGGGCAGCATGAAGCATTGCCAGCAGCAGGTCACGTAAGTCTTCTTTTAATTCTTAATTCAAAATCTCTCCTCCACCAAATCCTTTCCCAGACAGGCCCACACGAACCAAAATGAGCAAATGCAACTTCCTCTTCTTACTCCTTTCTCTCCCCGATAGAAGTGTTAACAACTCGTTATGAACAGAAAGAACGAAAGCACAGACAACAGGAGGGAGAGAAGCAGCGAGAGGCTGTGCTAACCTACAGTGGGGAATCCGACACCACAGCTGGAGCCCGGCTGCATTTCTCTCTCTTTTCTTTTGGTCTTATTCTTTCCACTTTATTTTATTTTTTTTTAAATCTTTATTGTTCAGATTATTACAGTTGTTCCTCTTTTTTCCCCCAATAGCTCCCCTCCACCCGGTTCCCACCCCACCCTCTGCCCTTCCCCGCCCCCAATGTGCTCATCCATAGGTGTATGATTTTTGTCCAGTCTCTTCCTGCACCCCCGACACCCTTTTCCTCCCGAGAATAGTCAGTCCACTCCCTGTCTATGCCCCTGATTCTATTATAATCACCAATTTATTCTGTTCATCAGATTATTTATTCATTTGATTTTTAGATTCACTTGTTGATAGATGTGTATTTGTTGTTCATAATTTGTATCTTTACCTTTTTCTTCTTCTTCCTCTTCTTAAAGAATACCTTTCAGCATTTCATATAATACTGGTTTGGTGGTGATGAACTCCTTTAGCTTTTTCTTATCTGTGAAGCTCTTTATCTGACCTTCACTTCTGAATGATAGCTTTGCTGGGTAAAGTAATCTAGGTTGTAGGTTCTTGCTCTTCATCACTTTGAATATTTCTTGCCACTCCCTTCTGACCTGCATAGTTTCTGTTGAGAAATCAGCTGACAGTCGTATGGGTACTCCGTTGTAGGTAACTAACTGTTTTTCTTTTGCTGCTTTTAAGATTCTCTCTTTGTCTTTTGCTCTTGGCATTTTAATTATGATGTGTCTTGGTGTGGTCCTCTTTGGATTCATTTTGTTTGGGGTTCTCTGCACTTCCCGGACTTGTAAGTCTATTTCTTTCACCAGGTAGGGGAAGTTTTCTGTCATTATTTCTTCAAATAGGTTTTCAATATCTTGCTCTCTCTCTTCTTCTGGCACCCCTATAATTCGGATGTTGGTGCGCTTGAAGCTGTCCCAGAGGCTCCTTACACTATCTTCGTATTTTTGGATTCTTTTTTCTTTTTTCTTTTCTGGTTGGGTGTTTTTTACTTCTTCGTACTTCAAATCTTTGACTTGATTCTTGGGATCCTCTAGTCTGCTGTTGGATCGCTGTATAATATTCTTTATTTCAATCAGTGTATGCTTAATTTCTAGTTGGTCCTTTTTTATATCCTTGAGGGTCTCACTAGACTTATTGAGGGTCTCACTAAATTTATTGGCGGTTTCTAGAAAATTCTTGAAAAACCTTATAACCGTGGTTTTGAACTCTCTATCCAGTAGTTTGGTTTCCTCCATTTCTGTCATTTGTGACCTGTTTCTTTGTCACCGCATTTTGGCTGCTTCCCTGTGTTGACAGAGTGGCTTTCTGTGCTAGGTGTCCTATAGGGCCCAGTGGCTCAGCCTCCCCAATTATCTGAGGTGGACACTCTTGGTGTACCCCTTTGTGGGCTGTGTGCACAATCTTGTTGTAGTTAAGGCTTGATTGTTGTTGGTATCACTGGGAGGAATTGACCTTCAGGCCAGTTGGCTGTGAGAATCAGCTGTGTCTATGGTGGGAGAACTTCTGTGCTGGAGACACCCTTATGGGGCAAGACTTGCTTCAGTAGGGCTTTGGTGCTCACTGAGTCTGCCCCCCTGAGTGTGTCCCTTATGGATCTGAGGAGTTGTAATCTGGATGGTCCCACTCTGACCACTGGGTACACTGGCTCTTGGATCTCTAAAGGAGGTGCTAATTTAGCCTTTGCCTGAGGCTACCCAGCAGGAGCTATGGAGAGATCTGCAGATTCCTCTTCTTTGTTTGGGATTTGGAGGTGCCCAGATGAGGCCCAACTGTGAAGCAATGCAAGCTGCTGTGGGGCCTTGGGCCTTCTTTTGGATGTTCTGGGTCTCTCTGACCCAGCTGCAGTTTGTTAGGTAATTGTAGATTGCAAAAGGCCAGGTTATTTATATGCAAAAACCTCTGCCACAGCTTGGGTGGGGTGGGGTCTCAGGGAATCAACAGGGCGGAGCAAACAGCTATGGCTGATCCTCAGTCCTGCCCTAAGAGGTCCTGGGTCTCAGTGTCCTGTGGTAATCCCTGCAAGCACCTCTGAGAGAAAGCTGCCCTTGAGTTCTGCTCGATGCCAGACAGTCCAGTTTCTCCCCGTATGAGTCTGGGTCCCCAGAGACTCGCCTGGAACTGGAGTTGAGAGCAGTCAGGAGTGTGTGTCTCCCTCCAGATTGAAAAAGACAACCACGTCCTCAGTTGCCAGCCCTTTCCACATGCGCCTCCGTACCTCTGCACTTTACTTCCGCACCTCCTCTGAGTCTCAGTGTGCTTTTCTCTTTCCTTCTAGCTGTAGACTTTCCACTCAGCCAGCCTTCCTGTGGTTCTGGATGATGTCTGTTTTGTCTTTTAGTTGTATTTTTGAAGTGGTTGTGCGAGGCAGCAATTTCAGGTGTTTACCTATGCCGCCATCTTGGTTTCTCCAAAGCTGTATTTTTTTCTGCATTTCTCTTAAATGATACCTGGGATGCCCTGATCCCCCAAAACAGCGAAACCAGCTGTCCTGACCTGAAGGGCACGAGAGGGAATAACATTTTGTCAACACACAGGACAAAGAATGACAGCAGACAGAGAGGGCTCAGGGAAGAGGCTGCCACCTATTGCACACTTCCAATGTAGCCATAATTCCGCACAGACAGCCATTGTCCTGACAGGTCATTTGCATGCCCTTTGCTGTTTTCCCAGGAGGCTATTCCTCACTGGACGGACCTGAGGCGCTGTCAGGGCAGTCAACGCACCAACACCTGGACAGCTCCCCCCGCAGGCTCTCCCGCCAAGGCTTCACCTGCACGATGTTCCCGCAGTTGCCTTTGGTGTTGTTGATCTGAAAGGAGATGAAGTCTTCCCCTTCGATGCCCGTGCACTGCCTGTCATTGACCCTCACGCCCTCTCTCTCGAAGCCGAGCTGGAAGAGTTTGCACTTGGAGATGGACACCTCCATCTGGGACGCCTTGCAGGTCACCTCCGCATCGATGATGTCGTGCGAGTCTGTGGGAAACAGGACGATGACAGTCAAGAGAGTGGGTGCTGGTCTTGCCAGAGCCAAGACAGCATCCATGGCCGTTTCCTGTAGAAATGGCTGCTAATCTGCAGGAAGTCTGTGGCGTTTCTAACTGAGATTTGCTCAATCCAAAGGAGTCTATGAGCTCATTCAGAGCAACAACTGGGACCTTGAAGAGTCTTTTTTAAAAGAAGAAAATACTAATGAAGTGTCTTTTCTTCCTAAACCCAGGACTCCCCCACTTGCGTAGTAACTGCTTTTCTGCAGGCTCCAACCTGCCTCTGGCTCAGGGAGGCCTGGCTGAAGGACCCACCGAGCAGGACAGCACTGGCCAGGCCACCGCAACCCAGTGCATCCCCAGCTGAGCACCAGGAGCTCTGGATACTGACACAGGGATGTGCCGGCTGCCGTTCCCAGTGAGCAAGCAGCTATGGAGACCAGTTTCTGTCTGTGCAGGGCCAGCATGGGCAGCCCAGCCGCCTCCTCCTGGGGAGCCTTGGCCTCAGGCTCCGCAGTCTGACTGTAGCTTAGCCGGTGCCGCCCAGTTCTGGGCTCAGGCAGGGCGCGGCGGGCTGAGGTGTGTG